CAGGCTTCGGGGACTGGGGCGCTGGTGCCCCTCCCCCACCCCCTCCCTCCGGAAGGCAGCCGCTTTAAAAGGCCCTAAAACGCTTTCCAGGCGGCCTTATCAGACCGGCTGAGCTGATCCCAATCAGGAAGCTTCCAGGTGCTGCCTCCTCCAACGGCCGCCGCACCCCTGGGAGCTGTGCAAACATTCCTTCCTGCCGGGCCTCCCAGCCACCTCCACGCACCAGGAGCGGCCCTGGCCGGCTGCACTTCAGCCTCTGCCAGCTTCCTGCCTCTTTCCCGGGAATCCTGTGTCACCTGGGGAGCAAATTCACCTGCCCCATGGATTTCCTACCCTTGCTCCCCATCTACCAAACCAGGCAGCAGATCAGATCACAACATTGGGCCACCTCTTCCAGGAGGCCTGCCATGATCTGCATCCCCTCTGGTCTCAGTAGGAGCACAGGTGCCCTGCCCTGTCCAGCCCAGGCCTCCTCCACCTGCCCCTTCCTGATTGGGGCCTTTCTGTGTGCAGGTGCCCGGCCTCGGGCCTGAACTTCTAGGTGAGTTCTGGGAAGGCAGAGCTGACCTGCATCTGTCCCGGGCTGAGCAGCCAGCCCTGCCTTGCTAAAGTGCAGCCCGAGCACCGATCTAGGCCTGCAGAGGGGAACCTGGGGCTCTTCGGCAAGGCCAGGCCCCTCCAGGAAGCCACGTCAGCACCGATCCTGCAACAGTTCCACATGAGCCCGGACCTCAAGGTTTAGGAGGCTGCACCCCCACACCGCCAGAGTCTGGAGAGGAGGCAGGGGGGTGCCGGAGTCTGCCCACACGTGTGGGGCCGCTGTCCCAGGGCCGGGGGAAGTGGGGAGCACCGGAGTGGGCTGGAGGAGACCCCAAGGCCTGGGCAGCTCAACTAGGGGCCACCGTAGGACCCAGCCATCATGGGCCGCGCCGACAGGCACTCGGCCCCGTGCCGGGGCATCCACAGGAGTCCCCGAGGACAGTAATGCTGGGGGCAGGGGGGCTCTGAGCTCCTTGTCCCAGAGCACCCCAAGTGCAGTGCTGGGATTGGGCCCCAGGAGGCTGGGCCTCACGCCGGCTACCGGTCGGCCGGCCCTGCTCCCTACCCAGCCCACGCCCCTCTCCCACCCAATGCCCGCCGCGCGCTAGGGACCCGGCGACTCTCACAGTACAGAGCCGGAGTGAATGAACACAGCAGCCTGCTTGTAGATTCCGTAGCGTTTGGGTCTTAAATCTAAGCCCTGATTTCCTGGCTAAGACGGGCGCACGAAAGCAGGTCTCCTTCAGAAACGAGAAGCCGAAGAAACAAACATGAAAGCAAAGCCAGTTCCCAGTTAATCCCACTGAGGGTCGCAGGTTCTTAGCTCGCGCCCGAGAGGTAAGTGCGGCGGGGCAGGCCTCGGGTGGGAGAGACAGGTGCGGGGACGCGAGAGGTACACACTCCGCCCGTCTAAGGCGCACGTGGCTTCCGCCGGTACACTTGAACCTGTCGCTGGCTGGAGCTGAACTGGTCCATGCGTTATCTCCCCAGACCTCCTCGCACCCTGGCTCAAGCTGTCCCTGGGTGTCTCCCTCCCCCGGGTGGATTCCCTCCCTCATCTGGGTCCCGTTCTCCACTCACTGGGTCACTCCACCTTCAATTCATTCAGGGTCGCCTAGCTGAAGACCTCCTACCGGGAGGAGCCCCGCCATGGCTGGGGAGGCCACACCACGGCAGATTAAAAAAAGCCTCTTGGCTCCTGGAGTGGGCGGCCCAGGGGCCAAGCAAATACCGAGCGAGGAGACGGACACGTCTCCCACACCGCCGCAGGTGGCCATGGGTGCTGCAAAGCAAAACGAAGCCGGTGGCAGAGAAAGGAGCAGAACTGGGTCTACGGTAGATGCGTGATCAGGGAAGGCACCCGGAGGAGGTGACGTTTGAGCAGAGCTCGTGGGACCACAACTCTGGGCCCCCACATAAGCCAGAGGGGTCCCTGCTTCTTCCGAGTCTCTCCACCCGCTGGCTCCTCTTCCCGGCACCACGCGAAGCCCCAAAGCCGACCTTGACTCCTGGGAATGTGGCTCGTAGGCAGGACAGGTGGCTGAGAAAGCGCCTAGTAGGGAGAAGGGGCAGTGACATCACGCGGCAAAGCTAAGGCTGTAGAATACAACGTCGCCGCCTGCCCCGTGGCCCCAGGCAGCGTACAACTTCCTGCTGGCAGCTCCCGGCCCCGCGTCTCAGTCTCTCCTGCCAGCCGTGTCCCTGGCCCACGTGTCCCTTGTCTCCCTGCTGGCGCCAGGACCCGGATCACACCGGCCAGAGAGGAAACTCAGCAAGACCTGGAGAGGAAGTGAGCAGAGAGGACAGGCGAGCTTTCTCCAGCCCCAACCTCGGGATTGCATCTAGCGGCGGGCCGGCCTCTCCTGCTTCTCTCCCCTCTCAGCCTCCACTCGGGCTGCGCGCTTGGCTTTGCTTACAAGGTCTCCTGGTTTGGGGAGATGCTAAGCGCACCACCCCAACACACGCACGCGCACACACACACCTTCTCTCCCCCTTCCCCAGGCTGCAGTGGGGATTCCCCAGGGCCTCACGGTCAGGATGGCCCTGCTCTGGGCTGAGGGTTGGAGGAGGGGGAGCGGAGGGGATGGCGGCCCCATGACTCTGGGTACCCCAAGCCTCCACCCGGTTTCCAGACTGCTGCTCCCACATGGACCCCCGTGCCCCCGGCTGCGCTCATCCCATCCTCCACCCCCCAGAGGCCACTCCCAGGCCCTCAGGACAGACTCACCTGTCCTGACATGATTTGACAGGCAGGACAGGCATGAAGGTGCCCCCTTGGGCAGATGGGGAAACTGAGGCAGGGAGAGGAAACCATGAGGCGAGCTAGACCACTGTACGCCCAGGGAACCCAGGGCTCCTGTAGACAGGGAGCCAGCCCAGGGTCCCCCAGGAAACCTGGCAGAGCCCCTGACCACCTGACCACCTCACACCTGCCCCGCCTCCCGCTGGCCAGCCCCCTGGCCCCAGCGGACTGGATTTCTTGGCGTCCAGGGCAGAGGAAGAGCCTGAAGCCAGGTGTGGAGGACCCCCTGCCGCCCTCCTCTCACCCAGCCTGGGCTTCCCTTCCCCACCCTGCCCCCAAGTGGCAGCCCGGGCAGCCAGCTCCTCCTGTGACGTCAGCAGCCGGCCAGCCCTGTTCCCGGGGCCAGGGGCCAGTCTGGCCACAGCCCACCAGATTCTAAGCACCCCCTGCCAGGGCCACGGCCGGACAGATGCGGCCCTTCCACCTACCCCGCAGTAATTAAAAACACACCCAGGCCTCTTCCAAGGCGACGGGGGCCAATTTTTCTGCCTCCAGCACCGCCAACTGCAACCTAAATAGCGATATTTATGCCAGCTCCCCAGAATACTGTAAACATCGCAACATATAGCGAGGCCAGCGCATGAGTCATTTCCAAAGCCACAGCTAATAAGTGGTACCCTCTGCCACATTCCTGGGAGCCCCCACCAGCAGCCGGGGCCCAGGGCTGCCCTCCACACCCGGGGCCTGCGGGGCGGCACGGCACCCACTCTGGGAAGCCACAGGAGCCGGAGGACAGCTGGCCTCCGGGGCCACCCCCAGCCCCCAAGTGTGGCCAGTGAAGTCACTAAAGTCACACCGCCCATGTCACTTCCAGAGGCCGCAGCTCCGAGGCCAGGTCTGATCAGGTTGTGTTGAAGTTTGCAAGAGGGGAAGGGGCTCCCGGTCACCCCAAAGTGGCCGGAGAAGAGGGTACTCAGCCCGCAGCAGCGGCAGGATCCTGCACGGGCTCACCTTGCCGGGGGGGCGGGAAAAGCCAGCCAGGGGAGCCTGACTTCAAAGCCCCAGACCTGGATGAGAGAGGGGCACTGGGCTCTCTCAGGCTCGGCCGCCCCGGCGGTTCCCAGGGGCCAGGAATCACGCCCACCTGGCCTCCCGGGAAGGCTGATTCCGAAGGAGCCAACACAGCTGCGGCGGGAAGGCACTTTGCAAAGCTTAAAGTACCTTGTCAACGGTGCAGCACGCCGTAAACCACAGAGAAGCGCGCACGGTGCAAAGTACTTCATAAACTGTGACGCGCGCGCCACCCCAGAGCCATTATTCACATCCAGCTCTCGGCCCGCACGCTGGGCCGCTCCCGGGGAACACGCCCAGACCCCGCTAACTTTCCCTCCCGTGCAAGCTCGCTGGCGTGACCTGCCTGGGGGTCGGGGGCAGCATGGGGAGCGGGCCCGGCGACCCCGGCCGAGGCCAACACATGGCAAGAGCATCTGGTCCGGCCCTGAAGGCAGCTGGAGAGTTCCTGGGGCTCCAGCCGCCACGCTGGGCTCTAACGCGCGCGGGGCGGTGGCCGGCAGGGGTGCCCGGAGACCCCTCGCAGCCGAGAGATGCCCACCGACCCATCCCCCCCACCCTGCAGCCCTCCCGGGGAGGAGACCCCATTGTACGCCGCAGGCGACGGGCAGGCACCAGCGCTGGGGGCCGGCGCTCCCGCTTCCACTCTTGCCAGTCGGCGCTCTCCCGGGGCGCCGGGCCCCGTCCCGGGGGCGCGGACCGGGGACCCCCACACACACCCCAGCCAGCCGCGGTGCCTCCCTGCCAAACTTTGCGGCCCCGACTGCGCGCCCGGGCCCCCCGGCCCGCGCGGGCCCTCCACCGGTGCCGAGCAAGGCCAGGCCCGCGCGAGGGGGGCTGCCCGGGCCGGGGGGAGGCGAGCGCGCGTGGGCAGCCCCCAGCCCTGGGCGGCGCTTGCCGGGCTGGCTACAAAGCCTCGGCAAGATGGTCCCTTCGCCTCCTCCTGGCACCGTCAATCAGCGCCCGCCGCTCCCCCGGGCGCCCGCGGGGCCCGCGCCCCCCGGCGCGGCCGGACACACCTCCCCGCGGCCACCTGCGCCCCGCGCCAGCCCCCGGGCAAACTTTGCGGGCCGCAGGGCGGAGGTGGGCGCCGGCGGCCGCCCGTGCCCGGCCGTTCCCCGCCCCCCATCGCCGCCCGCCGGCTCACCTTCCACGGCGGCGAGCAGCGGCAGCAGCAGCAGCGCGGCCCCCAGCCTCCGCAGGGCCATGGCTGCGCTTCCCGGGGCCTCGGGCCGCGGCGCCGCGGGGCCCGGGCGGCCCGGGCGGGAGCGCGCGCCCCGGGCTCGGGGGGCCGGGGGGAGCGGCGAGGCGCGGCGTACACACAGCCGCCGCCACCGCGCAGCCAGCAGAATGAGCCATCCAGCCCGGGCAGAACGGGGACCCGGGCTCCGCCAGCGCTGGGCACGGCCCACCTGAGCCGCGGGCGCGGGGGGAGCCCGGCCCGGCCGCCGCCCCCCGCGCGCGCGCCCCGGCGCCCCCCGGCCCGCGCGCCGCCCCGCGCCCCCGGCCCCCCGCGTCCGCAGGGCCCCCCACGGGGGCGGCGCGCGCGGCCGAGCGCAGCGACCCCGCGCGCCCGGGCGGCCGCGACCCCGGGCTCCCCCCCCCGCGCCGCAGTGGTCTCTCCCGGCGCTGTGGCTCCTCCAGATAAAGCAGCGATTTCAGCCCAAATGTTTCTCAATTTTTATTGAATGCTGCAAAGCCGGAGAGCGTCTGGCGCGGCTGACAGGGGCAGGGAGAGGGGACCCGGGGGGCAGGCGAGGGAAGGGGGCTGCCCCGAGCGGGGGCGGACGCTACCTGTCAGGCCCCGGGAGTGCCACCCCCTCGCCTCAGCCCTGCCACCCGGGTCCCTGCGGCTTCGAAAGGGACCGAGCTGCTATGAATGGGAAGAAGAAGAAAAAAAAAAAAAAACCGGTGGTGGTGATGGAGGGGTGGGGGGAGAACTGGGAACAAAACAGGCGGCTTTCCCAGGCGCCGGGGCCTGCGACTCGGGGAGTGGGCCTTGGCGCTGCCCCGAGGGCCTGGGGGCGTCCCGCTGGCAGCGGTGGGCCGAGCCCTGGCAGGCAGACCCCAGGCCGCCCCTCGCCGCCTTGTTCTGAGCGAGCGCGAGCCCCTCCCGCAGCCCCTGCACGGGGGATTTCTCCTTCTCTGTTGAGCGGGGTGCCCGTGCAGTTTAAGGTGGGGGTGGGGTTTCTGGGGGACGCCCTCACCCCAGCCGGCACCGTGGAGCGGGCCTGTGCCTGGCTGGCCCTCCAGGGAGGACACAACCCCTTGTTCCATTTCCACGTCCCAGCCGGCTCTGACAGCCTTTATCACCATCATCATTAGCAGGCTCTGTGAGGCTGGATGGTGGGCTGGCTGCGGGGGCCCCCCCCAGCCTTGGGAGCCGCACTCTTGACAAATGAGACTTAACCGGGAGCGGGGCGCCCTGTGCGGTGGGTGCAGGAGCCCGGCGGAGAGGCGGCGGCGATTGGAGTTCACTGGGTGCCACCCAAAACCTTCAGGATCTAGCCCCCCTACCCCAGAAAGTCCAGACTGAGAAAATGGGCTCTGGGCTTGGAGGGGGTGTAAGGGGGGGAGATGGGGTCACCTTTGGCATCTCTGAGAGTCCATGTGACATGGACATCGTCCTGAAAGGCCACCAGGAGGAGGTGGCTCCCTAAGGCGGGAGTGGGCAGGGAGGAGGCGCCCCCTACTAAGCCTGAGCGCCAGGGTCCAGACCCCCCGGGTGCAGCTCCTGCTCTCCTATGCTCCTGCTTGTCTACTTTCCAGGGGGCCCAGGCCCTGAGGGACCCGGAACCCGTCCCAGCTTGGGGCAGAGGGGGCTCCCAGCAGCACCAACCCCAGTGCGCCCAGGGGCCCAGCTGCTTACTGGCCCGGCCGGTCCAGCCTTTCTGCGCCCTTTCTAGGGGGACCCCTGTCACCACCCAACCCAGCAGCTGCCCCCCATGACCAGCATCTGTGTGGGGGGGACCTGGGTGCTGTTTACACAGTGTTCCCCTCACTGTTTTAGCTCTGAGGGCTGAAAAGACAAATGAGGAAGCAGAGGACCAGATCAGCTCTTTGTCCAAGGTCACGCAGCACCTTGGGCTAGAATTCACACCTCCCTCCCCCCACCTCACTCATCTGCCCAACTCCAGGGCTAGTCCCCTTGTGTCTTTCAGCTCAGGGAGTCATTTGGTCTACTTCCCACGCCCATTTTACAGGTTAGGAAGCTGAGGCCAAAAGGGAGAGAGTGGTTCACTCAGGTTATGTAATTAAATATCCATTAGTCTCCGGTCTTATTATTTTTTTATTTGACAGAGTTAGACAGTGAGAGAGAGAGACAGAGAGAAAGATCTTCCTTCCGTTGGTTCACCCCCCAAATAGCTGCTACAGCCGGAGCCCTGCGCCTATCCGAAGGCAGGAGCCAGGTGCTTCCTCCTGGTCTCCCATGCGGGTGCAGGGCCCAAGCACTTGGGCCATCCTCCAGTGCACTCCCGGGACACAGCAGAGAGCTGGACTGGAAGAGGAGCAACTGGGACTAGAACCTGGCACCCACATCGGATGCCGCGCCGCAGGCGGAGGATGAACCAAGTGAGCCACGGAGCGGGCCCCCTTACGTATTTAACATTACAAAAGTGATAGTAATAAAGTCCCCCTTCTCAGCCATCCTTTTCTGTCCAAATGTTCTTTTATTCCTCATCTGAGATCCTCCAGGGAGCCTGGATGCTGCCATTGGGCCAGGCCCTTCCTCCCTGGTTTCTGGGCAGCTATGCAGCCCACTTGGCTCCCTTGCCCGCCACTCTGGACCCTGGGACTCGGCCCCATCACAGCCGCCACCAGAGCTGCGACGGGCACCGGCCTCCCAGCTCGAGACAACCCCTCTGCTTAACAGTTTCCCAGAAGCTGATCAGCCCCAAGGGCCCTGGCTGGTGTCTCTGATCCTGGGGTGGCGTCCGATTTGCATATCCCAGCCTGGGAGCTGCTCCCTGCGGGAAGTGCCTGTGTGCGAGCAGGAGGCCCAGAGAGGCCTGGGCTCCGAGGAGGAGGAAGAGGAGGGGAGGGGGAGGGGAGGCGGCGTAAGCTCGCCTGGGCTAATGACAACAGCTCCTCCTCGCATTTGCAATCACGCTTTAACAGTTTACAGAGCGGCGTTCACACCCGTCAGCTCGCGCGTGCTCGCGCGCCCAGCCTCCCCTGCGCCTGCGAGCCTCCTGGCAGCGTGGCGATGCCGCGCCTCCCGCCCTGGCGGGGAAGGCACTTGCCCAAGGACACGCTGCAGACTTGCTTCTCGGCGCAGCTGGAGGGAGGCTTCAGTGACCTGACTTGTCCGTGTCTCTGTCAATCAGATCTGATTGACGGACACTATCCGGGCACCTCCCCGCAAGGCGGGCACCGGGGAGGCGGGGACGCAGCTGTGCACCTGCCGGGCAAGGCCCTGCCGTCCAGGAGCCTACAGGCTTCAAAAAGTTCATGGAAAACACCTGTTCCCTTTTCATCCACTCTTCCCATGAGCTTCTGAGGTGCCCTGGTGTACAACAGGATGGGGAGCGTGGGGAAGGTCGGGAAGAGACCGGAATGGGAACAGGGTGACGGGGCAGTGATTGCCGTGGGTAAGGGACAGCTCCAGCCCGGGGATGTGTGACCACTGAAAGCTGGATGCTACAGACGGTGGCAGGGAGGTCCCTGTGTGAGGAACCCCAGGTGCAAAGGGCCTGGGCCCCACGCAGGAGCAGCGGCTGAGGTCGGCAGACAACAGAGGTGCGGGGGACAAGGCCAGGAGGGTGAACCTGGATCGCGTATTTTAAGCACGAACGGAAGCCACAGAGGGTTCTAAGTAGGGAGCAGGTGGCCCGGATGCAAGGGAAGCAGCACAAACTTGGCTGAGAAGGGCCGGGGTGGTGGGGCAGCCCGGGTGCTAACCCAGGCCACCGTCCTGGTCTGCGGGGCTGGCCTGGCCTCTGCACCCCGTGGACGGAGGCCCCAGTCCTCCCTTTCCTTGCTGTGTGACCTCAGGCAGAATGCTCCCCCTCTCTGGGCCCCACTTGCCACAGATGCAGAATGAGGGCATTGGCAAAGGGGGTTTATCTGAGGCCGCCTTTGACCCTGGCTCTCCCACTGCTGTGGGCCCAGTGGAAAGAAGACTTCGCTGAGGACCTCAGCCATGCCAGAGGGGGCTCAAGGCCCCCATGACTCTTCCAAGGCCCCCATTCCTGCAGTGGGAGGGCCTCCCGAGGGGACGGTGTCGTCCTGAGTGACAGAGCCTGTAGAGGGGACAGAAGTTGCCTCTTGGTGTCCCCGGTCTCTGACGCCCATCCACAAGCCTCATGGGGGCATCGGGCTGCCCCTGCAGCCCGGGCCAGGCCGGGGATGGAGGGGGTCTCAGCACAGAGTCCTGGCCCAAGTCCTAGTTCTGCCACCAGTTTGCTGTGCGACCCCAGCCGGGGGCCCGTCCCCTCCCTGGGCCTGCGTGGGGAGAGTCACACACCTGCGCTCCGGAAGCTGGCGGACCGGCGCTGTCCAATGGAAACACAAAAGTCCGTAACTGAAAGTAAGAAGAAACAGGTGGAATTGATTTCCACTTGTTTATTTAACCCAACATAGCCACAATATTGTGATTTCAACATGTGATTGATGAACCATCTTGCAGTCTTTTTTTTTTTCCCACTCCATCTACGGAATGCGGTGTGTATATTTCAGCCTATCTCAGCTCCACCGCTGCGTGTGGGCAGGGGCGGCACCCAGTGACCCAGGGCGAGCCGATGAGCAGCCGTGGAAAGGGAGCTTGGACACAAGTTGTCCCAACGCGCCAAGGGCACGGGGAAGGCAGTCACTCCCCCTGCCGGAGGAAAGGGGGCAGGCTTCCCCCGGGGAGGTGACTGCCCCCGGGGGTGGGCGCCCGTCCTCAAGCTTACGAGGCCCCTGGGATGCCTGGGTTTCTGTCCCGGCTCCAGCTTCCTGCTGACACATGCCCTGGGAGGCAGCAGGGATAGCTCAAGGACTTGGGTCCCCGCCACCCATGTGGGAGGCCTGGGTGGACCTGGCATGTGCAGAGTGAACCAGTGGGTGGGAGCTCTTGTTTCTCTCCACCCACCCCCCCCCCACTCTCAAATAATACTTTTCAAAAATACTTTAAAAAAAAAGCCTCTTGACAGTTAATGTCTTTCCTCCTCCTTTACAAAAGCACATTTTTTCCAGGATAAAGTAATGCGTATTTTGTTAGAAACAGAATGGCTAGAGAAGAGTTCGAAAGGAGAATGAAAATCACCCAGAACCTCCCCAGGCCCGGAGCCACTGTGAATAGTTCCAGCCCCTTCCTGCCAGGCGCTTTCCGGGCGCAGGGAGCAGCACTGTCACCTTGCTGTGTGTGCAGGGCTGTGTCTGGTGCCTGTCCCTATTCTGGTTCCTCCTAGCTCGCCCCTGGTTGTCAGAGACTGGGGAAGGCACACAGCAGGGTGCTGTTCCGGGAACACGATGGGCCGCAGGGCCAGCAGCTCCCGGGCCTTCCTGCCTCCCCTGCAGGCGTCTGCCTTCCCAGCTCCACCCTGGGTGCCGCTCGGAGGTGGCAGGAGCACTCAGGAGGGCCCGATCCAGCCCGCGCCTGACTCCTCGCCCCAGCCCTGTGGCTGGCTCTTTGTGACTCGGAGGCTGGGCTGGGCTGCGGCTCCCAGCAGCCAGTCTCTCGACTGCCACCTGGTGTCCCTGGGAGTTACTGCAGCTCCGGAGCAGAGGCGTCCTCCTCCCAGGAGCTGGGAGGGCCTGGGTCACCTGGCTTGGGGGCAAGGACTCTGATGGGGGGGGGGTCTGCTTGCAGGGACAGCCAGTCTCCAGCACCTGCTGTGATCCTCCCGCCAGCATGGCCGCCCTCCCCACTCCACAGCGGAAGAAGCTGTGCATGGAGAGGAAGTGACTTGGCTAAGGTCACTCTGCAGACCAGTGGATGCTGCGCTGGGCACCAGGCTTCTGGGTCCCCGGGATAAGACCCTCTTGAGGCCTCTGGGTGTGCCGTGGCCGATAAGGCACCAGATTGGATTTTAGGGGACCCGAGTTCACGCCCCTGGCAGCTCTCCACGTGGCTGTGAGTGCCCGTGTGGCTTCCTGAGCCTCCGTTGCCCTGTTAGAAGATGAAAGGGGCCGGGGGACAGACGCGCCTCTGCCAGCCTTGGAGGGGCCCTGTCTGGGAGAAAGGTCGCCACGTCGCACCCGAGCCCGAGGCTTTGATCCCAGCGCCCAGAGCCGCGCGGTTTATGGAGGTTCACTGGGCAGGCGTTTCCCAATCTGCCAGTTTCAAAGTGCAGTTTTGATGGGTGCCTGGCGGGAGGGGTGCGGCAGGGTAGGGGAGCTGGGCGTGGAGGCACGAAAGGCTGGGAGCGCGACCCCCACCTGTGCCCAGATGCAGCTGGGCGTGGGGGCCAGAGAGGCACGCAGAAGGCTAACGGGCAGCCCTCCGTCTCTAAGGACCCTTGTACCTGCAAGGGAAACTCACGCAGCCAGGAGAAGCTGAGCTCCCTGCAAAGGTTCCGGCCCAGGAGTGGAGTTTTAGGACAAAGATGCAGCCGGCTCATGTTCGATCGGGGCCGAGGAGAAAGGAAGTGTTCAGGCGGTATCTGCCAAATTGGGGGAGGAGGGGTTGGAAGGAAGGAAAGAAGGAAGGAAGGAAGTGCAGATGGACGGGTGGATGAGTGGGTGGACGGACGGATGGATAGGCAGACGGATGGATGGATGGATGGATGGATGGGCAGACGGATGGATGGATGGATGGGTGGATGGATGGATGGATGGATGGGCAGACGGACGGATGGATGGATGGGAAGATGGATGGATGGATAGGTGGGTGAATGGAAGGATGGATGGATGGTTAGAGAGGAGAAAGGATGACAAGCAGGCAGGCTTCTAGGAGGTGGTGACATTAAGACCTGGGATGAGTCTCGGCATTGTAAGACATTGACGCAGGAGTTTTGGGAAGGACACCTTTCACAATCAAAAACGAGGAATCTGTACTTCGTGATGGGCACTCGGTGGAACCGAGAAGGGGAGGCGGAACAGGACTCGGATGATTCAGAATCTGGGGGCTCGCTAACCGCGGGGATGATGGTAACAGTAACCGCGGCTGCCCGGCCGCCCCGAGCACTTGGCACGTGTTAGCCCCGTCACGCCTGCGCATTCCCCGGGAGGTTTGCTGGGGCTCCTGTGCCCGGCTGCCCTGTGCAGCTCGTTCCCCTGGGCGCTCACCTCGACTGCCTGACCGTGCCTCTGGGGAGGGACCGCACTGCAGGCGGGGGAGGGCGGCGCTTCCGAGCTGGGAGAGGGACCGGCTCTGCGCGGGGTCCCCTGGCGAGCTGCGGCGGAGTTGGCAGAACTCGGGGCTCTGGCGCTCATCCTCTCCTGCGCTCGCGTGGGAACCGGCGTCTGGGGTCTCGGAGAGGAGCGGGGAGGAGGGAAGGGGCAGCAGCTTTGAGGGCCTCCCCCACATCCCCTGCACAGGCTCCGCCCCTGGGAAGTGGCTCCCACCCACCGCTGTGCCATCCAGGCGGCCGCGCTGGTGATGACAACCTTGGGGTTTTACATCCAGAAGAGCCTGGCGTCGGCTTCTCCACCCTTCTCATTTTGTGAATGAAGAAACTCAGAGAAGGGAAGTGGCTTCCTCAAGTTCAAGGGCAGCGGAGGTTCCAGGGTCTCCAGGTTAAGCAGCAGACGTGGCTGTTGGCCTCGGGCTTCGAGTTAGGAGGCTGGGACCAGGGGAGTCCCGGGGGACGAGGTGGGCATTCTTGTTTCTCTGGAACCATCTGGAAGGCTGGGCAGAGCTCAACCCTGTAACCATCTGAGATGGGAAGTAGCTCGTCTGTCTCACTGCTAACTCACATCCTATTCTACTCTCTTCCTCCAGCATTCGCTATTGTTTTCTAATTTAAAAAAAAATATATTTATTTGTTTGAAAGAGGAAGGGAGTTGGTGAGAGAGAGAGAGAGAGAGAGAAGTATTCCATCTGCTGGTTCACTCCCCAAATGGCTTCAACAGTAGAGTCTGGGACGGGCTGAAGACAGGAGCCAGAAGCTCCGTCTGGGTCTCCTGCATGGGGGCGGGGCAGGGACCCAAGCACTTGGGCCATCTTCCGCTGCTTTCCCAGGCGCATTAGCAGGGAGCTGGATTGGAACCAGAGCAGCCAGGACATGAGCCGGCGCCCATATGGGATGCCGGTGTCGCCGGGAGCAGCTCAGCCTGCTGTGCCACCACGCTGGCCTCTAGGATTCATTTTAAGTGCCAATGCTCTGCTGGGTCACCACGTGCACCTTCAACACTCACGGATCCCAGGCCCCATCCCAGGCCCCGTGGGGAGCCAGCAGTGGGGACTCGCAGGTGGAAGGTCAAACTTTTGTTCCTGAATTCCAGCTCTGCAGAGACAAAGCAGTAGGGGTGGCACCACAGGGGGACAATGGGAAGCAAACAGGAGCCAGCTCTGCTGGCCCAGGAGTCTCCCCTCCACTTAATTAAGATCACAAAGGGAAGCCGGGTCTGCATTGGATTGTGGGGATTATGCAAATGAGGCTGCAGAAAGGACAAGGCTTCTGAGCGCCTGGTTGCCCCGGCTGCCATGATGGGGCAGGCCTGGCCAGGAAGAGGCGATGGGAGGGACCCCAACCTCCCAGGGCCCCGCCCTGGGCTAGAGCTCCTAGGAGTGAGGGGCAGGTTTTCCCAGAAGGGGGCGTCTGGAGTGCTCACCTTGCAGGGAGCTGCCATAGGTCACACCGCTTGGTGCTCCGACAGCAGTGAAGAGAAAGGGCAGGAGGCAGAACGGGTTTGATCCCCTGCTCTGCCACTCACTGGCCGTGGGGCCCTCGGGGAATGGCGTCGGCGCTCCAGGCCTCAGCAACCGCACCGCCTGGGGTGGATGTGGGGACAAAGTGTGGCCAAGTTCAGCAGCTGCCGCGGCAGTGCCCGGGTTCCTCCTCTCCTGCTGGCTTCGTGTGGGCTCAAGGTCATGATAATTCAGTCAGGGTAAGTGCCTTATTAAGTAATACAATGTATGAACGTGACAGCAATATATGTGTGCACACACATATATACACACATGCACACGCATGCACACATATGCACACACACGCACATACACATATGCACACACACACTTGCTCAAGAGCACTTCAAAACATTCCTGGAAAATGGATTTAAAAGACAAGTTTATTTTGGGGCAAAAAAATCCATGCAAGGGCCTTTCATGCTACACACTTTCAGTGAAGTTTTTGAAGACCCCACCTATGCACGGATTTTGAGATTCTTTGTACCAAAATATTTGTTTTTTAATTTCATTTTCCATGAATTAAAAAAAATTATTTTATTTATTTGAAAGGCAGAATTGCAGAGAGAAGGAAAGATTGATCTTCTATCCTCTGGTTCACTCCCCAAATGGCCACAATGAGTGGGGTTGGGCCAGACTGAAGCCAGGAGCCAGGAGCTTCTTCCGGGTCTCCCATGTGGGTGCAGGGGCCCAAGGACTTGGGCCATCCTCCGCTGCCTTCCCAGGCACAGGAGCAGGGAGCTGGATCGGAAGTGGAGCAGCCAGGACTCGAACCGGCGCCCCTATGGGATGCCTGCATCACAGATGACAGCTTCACCCCCCATGCCGGCCCCTTCATGAACTTTTTGAAGACTCCCTCCTATGCATGGACTTTGAAATTTTTGGCACCAAAGTATGCATATCTTTTAATTCTGTTTTCCATGGGTTTTTGAAGTCCCCTCCTACCTCTATGTGACAACAGCAGACACGCGGAGAGCACCTCCAGCAGGAAGGATCTGGGAGCCATTCGGAGCTCGGCAAACACAGCTCAGGACTGCCGAGGTGCGACCACACCCATCTTCCGGGGAGCGGCCATGTCCAGGAGGGCCGCCGCGGCTGTGCCCCCACGGCTGAGCCGACCCCGGCTGCTCCCAGGCCCACAGCGCCAGGGCGCAGGAGCTCCTGGCTGTCATCAGGTTTGACTTGCTCATTTCACACTTGAGAAACTGAGGCCTGGGAGGGAATGGAACCCCCACCCCGACCCACCGCAGCAGATGGAGTTACAGCAGCCCCCTGTCTCCCAGCCCAGCCCTTCCCTCCCCACCCCCACGCCAGCACCCGGGCCTGGCTTTCTGAACCACCAGCTGCCTCACGGTCCGCCAATGTTTGCTGAGCCTGAGTCATGAGCTCAGAACTGGGCCCTGGGGGTGAGGGCAGGCACCAGACGGAGCAGCTTCACACCTGTCTAACCACAGGAGGAAGCCCAGACAGGGAGGGGAGCTCTGGGCCAGCCGGGGCGGGCGGGGTTGGGGGCAGAGATGAGCAGACCCCGGCCCTGCCGTGTAGAAGCTCAGCCTGCTCGGGCACTTGTGCCGTCCGCTGTGCCGTGCACTGCGCCACAGACGGCATGATCCTGCACTGCTCGGGTAGCGACAGAGCAGGTGATGACATGAGGGTGTACATCAGGGACAGAGCAGAATCCTTTCACGTAGAGAATGTCACCTGTGGGCCATCGCGCCATTAGACAGGTGAGCCGTCAAGGCTCAGAGACTGCAGAACTCGCCCAAGGTCACACAGCACTGCCACAGAAGAAGGAGGCAGAACTCATACAGTTCCTCGGGCCTCGTCCCATTACTGCTGTGTCCAGTGCGGCGACCACTTGAAGAGTGGCTTGTCTGAATTAAGATGTGCACAGCTGCAAAAATACACGTCCATTTGCAAAGGCATAGTAAGAAAAAAGTAAAATATCTCATGAGTTTAAAAACAAAATGTTAGTGAGGGGCTCGTGTTGTGGTGCAGGTTAAGCTGTCTCCTGAGACACCAGCATCCCAGATGGGCGCCGGTTCGAGTCCTGGCTGCTCCACTTCTGACTGAGCTCCCTGCTAATGTGCCTGGGAAAGCAGTGGAGGATGGCCCAAGCCCTCAGACCCGTGCCACCTACTTGGGAGACCCGGATGCAGTTCCGTGCTCCTGACGTTGGCCTGAACTAGCTCTGGCCATTGTGGCCATTTGGGGAATGGACCAGCAGATGGAAGATTCTCTCTTTCTTTCAAATAAATGAACAGATCTTTAAAAAGAGTGCTGGCGAAATGTTGAAATGATATTCGCGATACACTGGGTTAACTAAAACGTGTTATTAAAATCAGCTGTACCTGTTTCTTCTTACTTGCTCAGATGTGTCTACTAGAAAGTTAAAAATCTGGGCTGGCACTGTGGCGCCCTGGCCTAAAGTGCCGGCATCCCATACGGGCACTGGTTCAAGTCCCAGCTGCTCCTCTTCCAATCCAGCTCTCTGCTATGGCCTGGGAAAGCAGTATAAGATGACCCAAGCCCTTGGGCCCCTGCACCGGCACAGGAGACCTGGAAGAAGCTCCTGGCTCCGATCAGCGCAGCTCCGGCCGTTGCGGCCAATTGGAGAGTGAACCAGAGGACGGAAGACCTCTCTCTCTCTCTGCCTATCCTCTCTCTGTGTAACTCTGACTTTCAAATAAATAAATAAATCTTAAAAAAAAAAAGAAACTTAAAAATTGCCCATTTCCATCACCCAGCGCAGCTGTGCAGCGGAACTTTCCACCAAGATGAACACGGTCCCTCCTGCCCCGTCCCGCAGGGAGCCACCCAGCAGGACGTGGCTATTGAGAACGTGGACTGGGATAGCGTGACTGAGCAAGCGCATTGTCCATTTGCCGTCCTGGTAATGAATCGAAACTGGAATTTGAGCAGCCAGCGACTCCTGGATTGGCTGGCACATTGCAGCCGAGCTTTGCTGGCTCAGGAAGACAAAGAAACACGGCAGGGGGCACAGAGGGCTAGGCTCCATTGTCCTTGTGGAAATGAGGCTCAGAGAGGTTGGCGATCGCCCCAGAGCGCACAGCTTGGAGGGGTGGAGTCAGGGCTGCCCCCACCCCCAGCCTGGGAGCCGCAGTGCCAGCGCCAGCCCTGGTTTGTTCTCCAGAACTGCGCCTCCCTCCACTGCCTGAGGAACTGTCCCCAGGGCCTCCTCCAAGTCCCACCCACCACAGAGCCCCCCCCCCCCCCAGCCTCCCAGTCACCCCCTGGAAACCTCGGCCGGCCCCCTGGGGCTGTCGTCACCCTTCCCTGCCTCCTCCCTCCGCACTCCACGCCTGAGCGGTGGCTTCTGGGCGCCGGCTCCACCCTGTCCCACCCCAGCCCCCTCTCACCCGCTCCCATCCACTCTTCCGGGAAGCCTGGCTACCTTCGCGCCCAGCCTGCTCCATTTCCATGGCTTCTCAGACGGTCCCAGGTGCTTCAGAATGCGGAACTTGAACTTGGCATCCGTGTGCAAACCACAGCAGAAGCTGACCATGGCTGGGCCCGCCCAGCTCGGCCACACCCTTTCTGTGTGACCTTGGGCCAGTGAGGGTTTCGGCCCTCTGGGAAAGGGAAGGCAGGTGCTCCATGGAGCTTACTTCCTGAATAACCCCCTCCTAAGCTGAAAATGCGCCCAGGGGTGGGCGTTGGGCCAAGATGCTGCGTCCCACATCAGAGCGCCTGGGTCTCATTCCAGCTTTCTGCTTCTGCACACCCTGGGAGGCAGCAGAGAGGAGGAACTCCAGGAGGAGCTGGGTCCTGTCATGTACGTGGGAGACCTGGATGAAGCTCCTGGCTCCTGGCTTTGGCCCGGCCCAGTCCCAGCCTCTGCGTGCATTTAGGGACTGACCCAGCAGATGGGCGATCTCTCTGTCTCTCTGCCTCTGACACTAATGAAACAAAGGCGCTGAAGCCACCCACCCTATAGGACACCGGGGCCCAGTTGTGGGCGGCTGCACCTGCTGGTGGTGGGCTGACTTGGAGCCTCGGTGCCCACCACTGCCCGGCATCACGAGAGAGGACCAGACTGCGTGTCAGCAACCCCAGGGCAGAGCAGCCCTCAACGTTGGAAGCGAGGTTTTTCTGTTGAGTACCCAGCGTGTTGCGCTGTTGTAAAGTTGAAAATGCCCGAGTCAGGCCACTGTAATTTTGTTTAAAGATGTATTTATTTACTTGAAAGTCACAGTTACACAGAGCAGATGTGGGTGACCCTCAGGCGTGGCCCACTCGAATTACAAACTGGTGTGGGCATGACCACTCTGTGGTCCACCTCCCGCAGGGGCTGTGCACGGCACATCCTGACCTGGTTCCCTGCAGGTGCTCACTAAATGCGTGTTTGCACGCTGGACAAGGCTTTTGAATCACATGGGGTCCCGGTCCTGCGCAGGTTCCTTGGCCAAACTGTGCGACTGTTGTGGGGTGTGGGGGCAAGAGGGGCATAGAGCTCTGTGTGCCACACATGGCAATCTTTCAAAGCTGGGGCTCAAGCTAACCAGCAGTTAGACAGCTAGAGGTATGTGCCGCCTAGTGACGGGGCTCTGTTCTCAGACAGGCGGTTTTGTCACCACGCAGGCACCACAGAGTTCAGATAGGCAAAGGAAGAGGGCTGTGATGTAGCAGACAGAAGCTTCCAGAACCGCTGTTGTCTGTGTGGTCTCTCGTGGAGCAAAATGTTATTAGGTGCAGCCTGTTATAGGAAATATAAAACATATGTAATGCTATACTTTTGAAAGTTAACTTTTAAGGATTTATTTATTTGATTTAGAGATTATTTATTTGATAGTGCTACCAAGAGAGAGGGAGAGACAGAGACAGAGAGAGGTCTTCCGTCTGCTGGTTCACTCCCCAGATTGGCCATAACGACCGGGGCTGGGCCGATCCGAATCCAGGAGCCAGGAGATTCTTCTAGGTCTCCCATGTGAGTGCAGGAACCCAAACACTTGGACCATTTTCCGTTGCTTTTCCCAGGCCATTAGCAGGGAGCTGGATCGGAAGTGGAGCAGCTGGGACAGGAACCAGCAACCGTGTGGGATGCCGGCGTTGTGGGTGGCGGCTTTGCCTGCTGTGTCACATCGCTGACCCGGTAACTCTACAGCTTCGATACGACAGGAAGTCAGCAGACTACCTAGGACGAGTGAATGTCATTACTGTTTGGGAAGTTTCTTGGCGGGCGGATGAGTAATAAAATAAAAATATGGATGACTCGCACATTATTATATATTTATTCTATCAATTTTGTTTTTCTTGCCTGTATTTCAGCAAAATCAGTAATTACGCTGCTATAATCAAGATTTTTCAGGTAATTTTTGTTCTGTTGATGGTAATGCGAAATTACAGCCTTCTTCGAGCC